TCATACCTCAACCTGTGGCTGTGGTTAAAACTGTAGATTTAATGGGCCACAAATCATACTGAACGCGATTTGAGCAGCAAAGAAGCATCTGCTGCTTCATCTTTGTCCACATTAAGGTCAAGTAAAGTGTGTCCAGATGTGCAGCTCCTGTGTTCAATGGCAGAAAGTGTCTTTGCTATATTGGTTGTGATAAATCGGCAAAAAATTAGTTTTAATTTTTTTAAAGTGAGAAAGTCCACCTCAAAACATCGTCTGTGCAGTCACTTCATCAAGATTTATGATGCTGCCTTTAAAATAGTATTTCACTGTCGGAAGCGCTCAGACCCCCGCATACCGGTTAGCGTTATGCTAACCGGTATGCAGTAGTAGATGTTAGCGTTTTTCAGGTATGTGGTCCAAACTGCAAGCATTAGAATAATAAAAGCGAACATATTTTACCGGCAGGTTTCGACATTTAAGTTAATTAAGGCATTAATAATCAGTTTCAGTGGAGTGATCATAGTGCTCCCTTTTCTTTATGCATTAAAAAAAAATCTCCTTGCCTTTTATGTAGGGCTGAAACAATTAATCGAAGTATTAATTGATTTTTGAAAGAATTGTCAACTGACTTATTGATCATTTATTCGTTACCAGGAGTATAGAGACTCTAAAACATGCCTTTATCTTACAGAGAAGCCAAGTTAGAGCAGTAATTATACCAACATTGTAAAATGTATATATAAACATTGGGCATTTAGGAAAACTTTTTCGTCTGTCAATATGCTCTATACAGAACTCCTCAAGCAAAAAAAGCTTCAGTTTCACCTGCTTAAATTTCATAAAAAGTATTTAAGGAACCTTTGGCTTATTAATTGATTAATGAGGGAAAAAATCATTCTGAAGCGAGACGCTCAGATGCTTAATTGCTATGAGGCGCTGCTCAGATGCTTTAAGATGGGCTACAGGAACTTTTCATGCACCTTAAAGCACTTTGACCTTAGACTTTACATATAAACCGGCTGTTTCTGCTGCTCAAATCCCACTCGGTGTGAATGTAGCATAAACCATTCAGTTGTAGCTCCCACTCTGTTTTTGTCACAATTCTCTACTTAACTTTTACCTGCAGAGATGCAATCAATTGAAAATATCACTTTTGTCTGTTTTGTAGACTTATGTTTAATATAGTGATGGTATTAGCACTATAATTCTATATTTTTATGTTCTGAAGGTGTCCCTTCCTGCTGAATCTGGACCTGATGGGAATTGCAAATCGCTTTGTTCAGTTTAATCTTCCTGCCTTTGCTTTGGGAACCCTGCTTCTCATCACCTGTCCGACTAAAAAGGCACAGCAGATCCAGGCAAGTGAATTAATATCCATTTTTACTAATGAAAATGTATTTTCAGGGTTGTTTTGTATTTTTTAATAACCAGATGCTGTTTCTGCTGTTTCCAGGACTTTCTGTCCATGTGCAACCCAGTGGCTGTCCTGGAGCAGGTGGATGAATTTATGAGCACTGGTGAATTGGCAGGAATGCCTTCACAGGTCACTGATCTTTCTGTTTTGTCACTAGTTTAATGTCTTTTACCCTGATTTTCTTCTTTGTGTCAATTCAGTACTGTAAAAAGGTACTTCCTTTCAAAGCTATCTTGATATGAGTCATTGATTATTAGGTTACCAAAAAGCTGAACAGGAAATTATGCTGTATGTGTTTGATGGTGTGAAGTTAAAGAAGCTGTTTGCAATTGTATCAAACTCTTCAAGGCACCACATTGTTAACATGGATGAAATAAACAGGAATACAATTAAGTCTTTTTAACAGATTTATTTATTGTTTCCTGAAAACCAGTATGTTTCTTGTTTGTTCTTTCAGATCAGAGAGACTGTATTCAAATTCATCAGCCAAAACGGACAGCACCAGAAACTGTTGAAAACAAAATACTTCGACCGCCTGAAGCAGCTGGTTGTATCCAGTGGTAAACCCGAGCAGGTGAAGGAGTTGGTGGACTGTCTGATCAGCCAGAACTGGTACGGCATCATTCTTTAGTCATTTCATTTTTTAAATCTGCTGTATATATTTCTCTTATCTTTAATATAAATTAATAAGGCCATACAACACAAAAAAATGGGTTAGACATTTGAAAAACAGGGACACAGAAACAGGCTTCTGTTATAGGACTATTTTATATAAAATTGCCCCAAGATGTAGTTTTTAAATGTGTTAGATTGTTGCTCTATGAATCATGCAGAGCTTCAGTATTTTTAATCAGTGATATTTGAAATGTGTTAATTCTTCTCTTCAGTCAGGATGATGCTGATTTGCTCACTCGTGAATACCTGAAGCACAGAGAGCAGCAACGCGGGAAAACGCTGCCTAACGGCTCGCATTCAGAGGGCTGCCTGAAGGTACTTTCATATACTTTCATATAAGCAACCTGTTACTATTCTGTGCTGGTGATAAACCAAACTTATTGCTGTTTTTATTTCATTTGTCCAGGAGTTTGTCAACATGACGAATGGCGTATGTGGATAAAGCATCATTGTTTTTAATGTTATATTTAAACATTCTGTCTCTGCCTTCACTCAACTGAGACGCAGTATTTGCACTCAACCTGTGTTCTATATATTGTTCATTTAATGTAGAATAAACTCTTCTTTCTTGAAAGTTTCTTTAAGCTTTTTTTTTTCTTTTTTTAATGAAAGAATTAAAAAAGATGGTGTCTGGATTTTACGCCTTAACATCTTTTGATGAAAGAAGAAAAGACCAGAAATCTGCATCAGCCAGGAAAAGTTTAACTGGTTCATCTTTAACAGACTTTGCTTTTAAAGAGTCTGTGTTTAGCAAAAAACTATCTAGTTCTGGTCTGGCAAAGTCTTAGACTTTAAAAATGAGACTGTGTGAGGGATTTGCACAAACAAGCCAGAAAACCACAGATTTTTTTTAAAAAAAAGTCTTAATTTATTCCCAAAATGTAAAAAAAAAAAAAAAAAATTATAAACTGGGCCCAAACACAGAGGTCAACAAAACAGAATTCAATTCAGGCTTTAACATAAAGAACTCAAGCACAAACTTACCTAACAAACAAGACATGAGAGAAACTTAAATAGTGGCTGATCAGACCACTGTTGACACACAAGGGGGATAACTGATTAATAAACAAATAAACTTAATTAAACAGATACATACTGGCCAGACACTAAATTCACTAAAATTTTAAATTTAACTAATTAACAAAATTACCCAAACAAAGGATATTTAAACAAATGATAAACAAATTTCCCTTCCCATTACAAATGGTTTGACCAACTGATTAGCCTGCAGCAACCAATTGAGGAAAGCTGGAGCTCATTGCAGCCATCCACCAGCAGATCCCAAGGAAACTGGCAACTCAAAGAAAAGAAATTAATCAATTGCATCTTGACAAAAAAAACCAACAACCTGACAAAGTTAACTAAATGTGTGCACTGCAAAAACTGTCAAAACTTAAAGTCAGGCTAATGAAAATATATGAAGTGTGCAACTAATCTTGAAAATGAAAAATGTAAGAGTTACCACTCAGCTTCAGAGTGTGACAGCAGGCTGTCACAGACTAAAATAAAAGAAAGCTCTTAAAAATAATAATAGTTCTAAATAATATATACAGTGTCAATGTATTTTACGCAAAAACTACTTTTTTTTTTGCTTAGATTTCCAAAAATCCTAATCTAATAGGGGGAAAAAACAGAAAAGTTTAATTTGAAAAATTCTATAATTTTCAGATCATGTAGGATACCAAATCGAATAAATTTTCCATTTAAAAAATCCTTTATTGTCAAAAAATTGGCTAGATTCAGCTAATTAAAAAAGCTAAAGTAAAACAGGAAAATTAAAAAAAAAATTGATGTTGGAGATTATTACCGGTAGTTATCCAGGACATACAGTAGTTATTTCAAAAAAACAATCCATTGCCCTTTGTTTCCAAGTTTGAAGATATTTTGCTTCCCGTCCAGGAAGCTTTTTCAATTCAAAATGTCAGAAATGGCGTTGAATTCAAAGCTTTATAGGGTAGTCCAAAATACCTTGTTCTGGCTTAGAAGACATGCAATTGAACCGGAAGAATGGATCCGCACCTTAGGAATGGGGAGTCGTTTGGGTTCTTTGTTAGACTGCAATTCGCGGTACAGGTCTATGCCTCTTAAAGGGGGGCGTTAGGGGCATTGTTGGCCTGACTGACCAGGTAAGATGTTTTGGTCCCTTGCATGGTTGTGGGGGTTTATATGACCGTGGGAAGGAATCAACTCTATTGCTGCATTATAGGTTTTTGAGAGTTGAAACCCGAGTCCGCCGTCTCTGTTCAAGGTTGCTGTTTCTCTCTTAACATAGATGGGTGGACTCAGGTTTCAGCTCTCAATCCAGATGAATGCAAATCTACACCAGTCTATTTAGTTGTGTTAAATTATTTTGTTGAAGCTCAAAGAAAAATTGTTTTATCCTTCAGTTCTAAACCACAAAAGCCCAAATACATTTAAAAGAAAACAAATTTGCTTAGTCTCCTTATTTTGACTTCGTCAGATTAGTAGGAGTGGGCAGAAATTACATGGGTTGCAACTGAAAGATAAGACAGGTTTATTTGTAGTCTGATAATTGTGCAGCTTAATCTTTACAGACATTTGCTGCATCCAAATGTTTTTTTTTTTTTTTTTATTAAGATCTGTGCTATTCAGAAAATATTTGGCACTTAAAGCCCTGGCAGCCCAGGTATACTGTAAATACAAACCTACAAAAAAGTTGCATCAAAATAAGGTACTTGGTGAAAAAAAAAAGTACTAATAAAATTCCTGTAGAATACTTAGAAAAGACATAGAACTTAATTCATGGTAGTGTTGTAAACAAGCTGTGTGGTTACGCAAAAAAAAAAAAAAACTCAAATAAGAGCAGTGCAGAAAATAGAATAGAAACACCGGTATACCGGAATAGAAAATGCATAGCTGTAAAGGAAGGAACAATGTGCATCTTATTTTCCTTTTCATTCAAAAACCATGCTAACTGGGGATACATGACTCCTTTCTCATGGGATTGTAGTCCTAAATCTGCAGATCTGAACCCATCTCACGTGTTTTTCTTTCTGTGCTCTCACCGGTTGCTGTCTGGGGCAGATGCAGAGTTTTCCTACAGATGTTCTTAAAAGCTGGGCTGGAGAAATAGTAGACCACGGGGTCCAGCACGCTGTTAATATATGTCAAACTGATGGTGATGTAGAAAACTGTGGTTGGCTCCTCCATATCAGCACACTTAAAGCCTTGGGACATCTTGATCCACATGGCAAGCACAGTAATGTTGCTTGGAAGGAAGCAGAGGATGAACAGCACCACCACCACCACGATGAAGTACAGAGCTTTTCTAAACTTGGCCTGGTGGGCCAGCTGTCTCCTCCTCAGGTGGCTGATGATGTGGAAGGTGCAATAGAGAATGACTAGCAGAGGCATGTAGAAAGAGAAGAGAAACGTGAACTTATGCCAGGACAGGTTTCCTTTGGTCTTCGTGTCCACAATGAAGCTTTCGCAGTAGGTGGTGTTGATGTGTTGCAGCGAGAAGACATGGACTGTCATTGTGATGGGGACCAGCCACAGCCCAAGCGCTCCCACCATAGCTTTACCCACACTTAGAGAGTTGATGGGATGGTGAGGATGCACCACACGCATGTACCTGTCCAAGGCGATAGCCATCAAGAAGAAGGTGCTCCCGCTGCGATTCATGGCCAGCATGAAGAGGCTAATTTTGCAGACTGCTTCACTGAACCTCCATCTGATCCCTGAGAGATAATAGCTGATGCGGAGGGGGAGAGCCAGGATGAGCATGAAGTCAGTCACTGCCAGGTTGAAGAGCAGCACAGTGCTGCTTTTCCAAGGCCTCAGTTGGAAGCAAAAGATGAACAGAGCCAAACCATTTCCAACCAGACCCAGGATGCACTCGGTGACCAGTAGCGGAGGGAGCACTCTAGTCAGCACGGCACCACTGAAGTTGCACAGCATGTTGATGTTCCGTGTTGCTTTGATGCCTGCAGAGGAGAGAATGAGCCCAGATAATACCCCACCCATTTGGAAAGAGGAAAAAAAGAAAAAGAAAAAAAAAATAAACAAAATCATGGTAGTTGTGTAGTTTCAGTTTTTGGGGGAAGCCAAAAATGTTACTTTATACTAACATTTAATGAAACCTTTTTGCACATGCTTTTTTAAAATAACAAGGCTTCTTTTATTTCTGATCATGTTACTGTTTAGAGCCACAGTCCAGCTAAATCAAACCCATTGATCAAATTGGATTAAAAGCTTCTTAACATTGTACACAAGTTATTTTAGAGAGAATAAATTCCTACCACTCAGTGACAGCACTTCTCATTTTTGCAGCAGCTATTTTTTCCTCTTACAAGAAACATTTCTACCACAAAGTATGCAGTCTCCTCAAACAGAAATAGACGCATTAATAATAGAAACTCCCCCAGAGTGAGGAGACAAAAGTTTGTTTTGCCACAGAATTCAAAGCACAGCAGCCCTTACAAGACAAATTTTCCACAAAGCATGATACTGCATAACAAAAGTTTTGATAGATTTTGTGCTTTTCCAGATTCTCTCAAATTGAAACCAGCAGAATTTAATTCTGGTCTAGAGTTAAAACTTACATCTGTGCATCTGCTTCCCTTCTGCAGGTCAGCCACCTCCGAAATGTGCTGAAACTAGGTGTGGCAGTACCAACTTTATAGGAAATTTTGTTACAGGGAATCCATTTCTGTTTCCAAATACATACCTATGCTAATAATAATAATTATTATTATATAAAAAAAAATAATGTAGTGATGCAGACAAGTGTTATTCACACTTTGCTTTTTGGAAAGCAGAAAACAGGTTTAAATTTACATTACTTTCAATGTAAAAGTCAATATTGACATTCAAGCAAGAAAACCCATCTAAAAATTGCTGACCAACTTTTTGCATGGGATGAAGAAGACCACAGGCTTAAAGCAGAAGGATGATCAGGCAGAAGAAAGTCTGGACAGAGCCAGTAGACAGTCCTAGTGATGTGGAAGACCTCCAGCCTTTTTCCAGTACAAAAGACTAACTTCCATTACCATACAGAGTCCTGTCATCTGCAGCAGTATTTGATGCCTCTGCAGTCATTGGGTGCATCAAAGATGGACAAGAAGTTGAGTACAGAGAGCTGATAAACCGCTTTGTTTCATGGTGGGGAAACAATCCGCTGATTCTGAATGTCAACAAAACAAGGGGGATTATTGTAAGTTTCAGAAGAAAACTAAACAAGTTGAATACTGTTCACATCATGGGAGAAGTGGAGGTCAGGGGCGTCAGCTGAGCCAATACTATACAGGGGCACAATAGGGCACAAAAAATTATATTTTTGGCTATTATTTAATTTTAAAAAAGCATGGGCGCAGATAATTAATGCAAGCATGCGAGCAAATATTTTACAGCACTTATTTTTTTTTATTATTAAGTCTCATAAATGAATAGTACAATCAGATTGTTATTTTCTGCATCATTAAATATCTACCTGAACCAAACTGAATTGAATTGGCCCACTTGTGAACTTAACCATATATCTCTAATCCACTACTGATGAAGGAACAATTTATCTTAATTAAATATCTGTCAGCAAACATGAACTTGAAAATTGAATACTGGAAATGTGCAACCGTAAAAGGAAAAACACCTCTACATGCATACGTGTCTGTGTTTATCATTTCTATTTCGGCCCATCCTATGAAGGTGCCATGGTGATGATCCTCAGCTCAGCGACACAGAGGAGAGAGGAAGTGGAACATATTCTTTAAAATTTATAACTGCATTATCTGATAATGACAAGCTTAAGTGAAACCTTATTTTGGGGGAGGAGAATTCTGTTAAAGTAATCCTAAAGGTTATTTAAAAGTGGTCAGAGAGGACAGGGTTGTGAGGAAATAATGCTATTTCTTCACATTCAGTGCACAAGGTCCAAAGCATGAAGATGAGAATGTGTGGGACTATTCACTAATCACTGTAACCCATCCCCAGATCAGCGGAAGAGCGTGGTGACATGCTTTTTTTTTTTATCATATCCTAATTTCTTAGATACGCAACATAAATCAATGTGATTATCACAAATCCAGTCACTAAATTTATTAATTTAATTTGTTTTAAGTAGATTATCAAGATTTACTAATTTAGGATTCTTTTCTAATTTATTTGATTTTGTTCATGGGCAAAACACTGTCTGGATGGAGTAATCAGTGGGTAACAGTAGAGAAGCTGTAGAGAGGAGTATTAAAATACGACTCTGCTTCCTGGTCTGCAAACTAGGTTGTCAGGATTTTGACCAGTTTCTTTAGAAAGAAGAATAGCACATTTCAAAGTGGGATGGATGCGGTTTCTCCAAATCAGACCAGGTTTACCTAAAAAAGATTGCAATTATTAATGTAGCCAACTCAAGCAACTATTTTCTCCTTCACCATCTTCCCCTTTTGCAATTGTAGCACTGTTCCTCTGTATTTTAAATACATTCTTCTTTTTTTTTTCATTTCTGAATTAGAATCTCTAGTTCCAGCAGGGTTAAAAATGTCACGCACGTTAGAGTTGATTGAGTTTTCCGACTTTAGGCTTGATCAATTTAGAGTTGCTTATTTCAATCTGAGTTTGTTAAACCTACTTCGTAAAACGGACCCCTGGCCTGTACCCAAATTCTCTGTCATAGAAGAAAGATTTTCTACTAACATACTGGATATTAATCCTTTAAATTTCTTCTTCCCCACTAGATACCTGACACAGTGACACCACAGCCAAATCAGAGGTTGGGTAAGGCAGGGAAGTCTGTTGCAGAGATGTTGGAGGCCCCCAACCGTACAAACCTGACGCCAAAGAGCAGAAAGCCCTGGAGAACTCAGTGGCAAAGTGGATAGGGCGTTCTGGCCTGCCTGCAAGGACCATTGAGAATGAAGACTTTGTGGATATGATGAAACAAGCCGAAAATAGGTTTAATGTGTATGGTGTGATAAAAGTTAAAAAGAGAATCAGTGTGTTAAGTTCTATTCTGCACAGCGTTATATAAATAAAAAAGGGAAAAAGAGAAGCTGTGTGTGAAGAATTTTTATCCTGTACAGTGTGATATATCCGTTAAAAAATAGCAGTGCCTATCTATTATTTACAGTGTTGACCTAAATGACAAAAATGACTATAATTTGACTAAGACTAAAATAGATTTTTGTCATTTAGACTAAGACTAAAACCAAATCGGGAAGGCAATGACTAAATATGACTAAGACTAAAATTGATTTTCGTCATTTAGACTAAGACTAAAATTAAATTGGGAAGGCAATGACTAAATATGACTAAGACTAAAATTGATTTTTGTAATTGTGACTAAGATTAAGATAACATTTTAAAAAGCTGATGAAATTAACACTGCTATAGTGTTTTCCTGTTGCCTGGTCTGTTTGTATGAAAAAATTCTCCACTCTGTTAAGAATTGCTTGGCTTAGTTGCTTGGCCTCGATATTACAGACACAAAATGGATTCCTAACAAATTCTATATCAATCCTGATTTAATTTTTTTTAAATAAAAAAAAAAAAAAAAAACTTGCAATTTTCTTTTCTTTGCTTTACTTGAGTCATTTTATGTGGGGGTATGTATAACTTTCACTCCACTACATTTCAAAGTGAAATATTTTACTTTCCACTCCACTACATTTCCAGGAAGCTGATAGCCTAGTGAACTAGCCCCACCTGCCAGCGGCCAAAATCAATTTTGCCTGCAACATTTAATATCCCATTTAGTCTGGTTTATCAGGCTAGGAAGCTGATAGTTCCTTGCTCCTTTCATTTCAACATAAGATTGCAGCCCTTAGGACTGAATTTGGACACTACTTTTTAAGGAATATCCCTGACATTCCACAAACATGAGAAACTCATGGCAGATATTATTTGTAGTTTATAATTTTATTAAGTCGTTAGTTGTTGCCATGTGGTCTAGTAATTCAATTGGATTAGTTCTCAAAATTAGTTGTGGTTTCCTTGTGGTAATAGATTCAACCTTAAACCTTTTAATCCATAATAAAAGTGTGAGGAGAAGACACTCCTGCTTTCTTTTTTATTTGTTTTTAAATAAGAAATAGTAATCATTATAGCTGCCCTTATTTTTTTGTGGCATTTTTATGCTGAAGTTTTTTTTATAGGTGACGTAGGTGGTTCTACGCATCAATAAATAAGGTGGTTTCTGAAAGTTTCAAGGCTGTTTAAAATTACTCTCAAAATTAGACAGAAATGTTCTGATGTTTGAAAATTTGATTTGCATTTTTGAATACTTATGTACTTTTCAATGCATGTACTTTTGAATAATTAACTATTTTCAAAATTGTAACAATCTTGGTTCTGTTGTTTTTCTTTAAGTTTTCTTTTTCAAGTTTAGCCAGGTTTTTCATTGTTTTCTAGCTTTTTTGGTGTGTCTGGATTCATTTGAGTTGCTTGGGTTTTTCTGTCTGTCCTCTGCTACTCCCTCTGCAGTCCCTCTTTGCTGGTTCC